TCAAACCCACAACCTATGTGTGTTCCCTGACTGAAAGTTAAACCCATGACCTTTCTGTTACGGGACAATGTACCAACTAACTGAGCCACACTGGCCAGGCCTTGATTTTTAATTTTAAAATATTTCCCAATTACAGTTTATATTCAACATTATATTAGTTTCAGGTGTACAGCATCATGGCTAGACATTTATATAACTTACAAAGTGATGCCCCCATAAGTCTGGTACCCGCCTGGCACCACATGCTGCATTACAGTATCACTGACTGTATTCCCCATGCTGAGCTTTATGTCCCCTTGTCTGTTCTGTAACTGCCACTTTGTACTCCTTAATCCCTCACCCTTTCACCTAACTCCCCTCCCATCTGACTGTCAGTTTGTCCTCTGTATCCAGGAGTCTGTTTGTTTTGTTTGTTTATTTATTTTTTTACTTTCCACTTATCAGTGAAATCCCAGGGTGTGGCTGCCCCCTTAGGAGCCCTTAAGTTTGTACCTTTACCTTCAGGAAGTATTTGAGGATGGAAACGTGGTTCTGTGCCTACCAGTTTTCAGCTCTTGCCAGACTGGAACTTCTCTGCTCTCCTTGTCAACACTGTCTCATTTACCTGTTGTCCGCGTGTCCCTCTACCCATCAGTCCCTGAGCCTGGTCCCTGGCACCCGTCCTACAATCCAGCTGTGGAACCTGCCCTTGTTTCCTGTTTGGAGAAATCTTCCAGCTGCCTGTGCTCCGGCCGCTGCTTCTTCTGTCTCTTGGCCTGTGTGCAGTGCCCAGAGCACAGCAGGCGCTCAGTAAATAACAACTTGTCCGGAGCACGTACTAGCAGCCTCCATCTTTCGCCGTTGTTTCTGTCCCACTCTTTCAGCCTGTCCCCACCTGTATCCTCCACATTGTCCTCTCTGAGGTCCCAGGCTGCAGAAGATCTGGCTCAGTCCTCGTCCCTTCTCCCCTCCTCTCAGCACATGCGCACTGTTCCCTCTGCTCCTCCCTCGGCCGCTCGGCCCTGCATTCTCCTTGCCTCCTTCCATGTCAGTCAGTTACTCAGGAATCAGAATCTGGTTTGGTTTTGTTTGGTTTGGTTTCCTTTTGAACCAGCACTCTCTTTTCCCTCCCTTTTCCTCTGCCCCCTGAAGAGAGCACATGCTTTTCCGAGGCTCTCTTCTCGGCTTTGTTCTCTCTGTGACTTCATCTGTGCTGCTGGCTTCAACAACGCCATCTGTGAAGTCACCCAAACCTCACGCGGTCCATCTCAGCCTCACTTCTGACTCCAGTTCCATACTTTAGTATCACTGAAACTCTGCATGCAGATTTCTAGTAAAATTAAAAATAATTTTTTCTACATCTGCAAAACAGCTCCTCTCTAACTCGAACAAATGCACCTTCTCAATGTCACTGTTCCTGCTGTCCTCCCACTGACCTCCCAGTGGCTAAGTCTCAAAATGTTGGCATCATCTTTGAGTCCTTCCTTGATTCAGCCACCTGGACCTTACTGTCCAGCGTGACACTGCCCTTTCCCTCATTCAGGCTGTGGTTGCCCCTCCTGGTGTTCCCACCCCTCCTCTCTCTGCACTCAATCGCCGGGCTCCCACCTCCGACCACCCTCACCCACCAGGTGCTGACAGGCCCGGGCGTGTCTTAGATCGCTCCTCTCATATGGGCACCACCAGCCCAGACAGTCACGGGCCTTTTGTTGGTCACGCGATCGGGAACGGAGCTAGTATTTTCTGAGCATTTATCATGCGGCAGGTCTGTGAGGCCAGAGTTACTACCTCGGTCTTATTAAAGAGGGAACTCAGGCTCAGGGAGGTAAAGTGACATATATATGGTCACAAAAAAAGTTGGTGGGAGCGCTGGGATTTCAATGCCCCTTTCTGTCTTTACGCAGTACGGGGCCGAAGTTTAAATCCTGCAGCCAGGTGTCTAGGACCTGTGCCCTGTGAGGTTCTGCCCTCCTGCACAATCCTCACCCTGTGTCCAGGTGACTTCTAAACCTTTCCCAGCTCTGGTTGAGACCCTTCTTCCCCATAACCCCCACCGATTCCCTGCTGTGACCTCCATCGTGCTGTTCTTTGTGTTGGGCACCAAACCCTCTCCTGCTCCCTAAATTCCACATCCCTCCACCAAAACTCAGCACAGAGAACGTCTCTTCTTATTTCTTCTCTGTCGTTCCAGAGCAATTTCTCCATCCTTTGAACCCTCGTTGGACTTAAAATGTAAGATGGCCTTCCAAACTTGTTAGTTCATCTTCTGAAGCATTTCCTTACCACCTTAAACACCACCCTCCCACAAGGTGTTGCTTTTATAATTAATTAATTGTTCAATGCCTGCCCCCTCCAACTGGAACGTAAGTTCCCTGAGGGCAGGAAGTGGTTGCTGTTGTTCACGTTTGTGCACGCATCTACCTCAGTGCCTGCGCAGAGCAGACACGCAATATAGTTTATCAGATATGTGACCTCATGCCTCATTCTTTCTCTTGCAGACTCTAGGTGACTTGCAGGGAGTGGCCCCATCTGTTTTATCCATGTGTCCCCTGCAGCATCTGGCTCTGCCTTGTGCTCAGAGTTGGAAACTCCCAAGTCTTTTTGGAGTGAACTAAACAGAGGCTTTAATGCCCTCCTTCACGTTGGCAGGAAGCTGAGGGTATCGGAGTCTCCCCCCACACTAAGGTTTTAGTGTGGTGCGTGGAACCCTGGAAGCCTCTGCAGTCTCTCCACTTTCGGCCCCTGAGTGAGAGCCCCTGAGGGTGAGGAGTGGTCAGGACGGAGATTACCGTCAATGCCACTCTGTCCATAGACCTCCTTTTTCTAGCACCTGGCTAAATCTGACATTTCGTGTCTAATTCTCTTTCTTCTTGTCCCCAAACCACAATCTTTTTTAACTGCACCATACTCTCACCACCTGCCTCCTTTTAAAGTTGCCAAGACTCCGTCGGGTCCTCTGCTTCAGTTCTATTCTCTAGTCTTAGTTTCTGAGGACCCTCCTCTGCTCCCAGGCAGTGCTGGGATTTCTCTCCTCCACCCCCCAGAGCAGTGCCTCCTGCCCCCGCCTGTACTTTGTGGGCATCTCTGGAGACGGTTTTGGGAGACGCGTGTGCCACGCAGCACTGAGCAGAGCTTCTGGGATTCCTGGGTCCCCCTGTGGCCCCCCCGCCCCGCCACGGCACTCTGCTAGTCTCCTCTCAGGACATCTCCCTCCTGCTGTCAAAAACATGGTGGTGTGACTTAGGTGAAGGTTGAGAGATGGACATAGTGAAAAATATTATTAGTTGACCCAAGAGAGTGTGGTAGAGGGAGTTTTATGAGGTGTGACAGCTTTCGGAAGTTAATGAGCCATTTGGCATTTCTCCAAATGGAGCCCAGCTGGCCAGGGCTTGTCCCCAGGAGGGCACACTCAGGACTGATCTCCCTTCACCCCTGGGTAGCCCTTCCCTGTTTCTCCACCAGTGAAATGGTGTGAGGTCAGCTTCCTTCCGAAGCATACAGTTACTCCTTTCATAGTGAGGGCTGTGATTCATCTCCCCACCCCCACCCAGTGTCTTACCCTGCGTCCCGCGGAGAGTCTCCACTACGCGGCAGAGGCGAAGCACCTGGGAAACGCACAGCTCTGACCAAGAGGCTGCTTCTTCAGCTAATTCCCAGGCAACAGTAGGAAGTAGGGCAACAATGTGGGGGACAGAAGATGCTTTAATTGGAAACCTTCTTCTACGTAATGTAAGGAGACAAGACAATCCCAGTGTGGATTTCCAACCTAGAAGCGTGGTTTGGCCTGTGTTCCACTTGGGTGCCCTTTACACGTACCCGGACCCCCGGCAGGTTTGAGGTCCTCAAGGACCAGGGATTTTGACCAGAACCAACTGTGGACCAGGGTGGCCCTGGGCAGGTCTGCTCTGGGGCCTTCAGATTTAGCTGCAGCTCTGGCCTCTCCCAGCTGTGCTCCACTTTCCCTGGGTTTCAGGGAGCGTGACCTGTGCAGCCGGTCCTGGGAGTAGGGCACTGGGCTGTAACAGAACCCTGGTGACCAATTGTAAACAAGGGTTATTTAAGTAGCTTCACCACGTATCACACTACCAGTAGCATTATCTTCTCACAAGTGGGTGTGAATCTCTGAGCAACCCTATAAGTAAACAATAGGAGAGTGATGATAGCAGTTAACCTCTCTTGAACTCCTAGTACGAGGCAGGCACTAGGGCACAGGTGGCAAACACAAGGCCCGAGGGCCGAATCTGGCCCTCTACCTTGTTTTATCCGGCGGGCACCTTGTTTCTGCCCAGCGGCAGCACCGAGCTCCTGCTTAACTGTTAAGGAGTAGTTACATTTGTACAGTCCTAAAATTACATTCAGCCCTTTGAAGGCAACTGCAAGGCTGATGTGACCCCCCCCATGAAAATGAGTTTGACACCCCTGCCCCAGGGCAAGTGCCTGATGTACCTAGCCTGCCCACTCCCACGGCAGTCCTGTGTAGCAGGTATTAGTATTCCCACATCGCAGGGGAGGAGACCGAGGCTTAAAGAGGTTGAGTAACTTGTCCAAGTCACAAAGCTAGTAGATGGCAGGGCTAAGATTTAACTCTAAAATGTATGTGTTTTAGCCAGCAATGGAGCCTAGAGAGAGACTGGGAACACCAGCCTCTGGAGCAGCTGTTAATTCTGGGTCACGGGGACATGCTTAGACTCTAGGGGTTCCAGTAGTCGGCGTTAGCTCTGCTGCCCTAAAGGTTGATGTAAATAATGCATGCTTTCTTCCCAGCTTGCCTTCCTCATTGATAAAACAGACACATTCAAAGCCCATACATATCATATTTTAAAACAAACGTTGCTGCAGCCTCCGCCAACTGTCACCGTGTCCACTGCTGCCTAGAAAAGCTGTTCGTCCCCGGGAGAGTGGGAAGTGATTTGCTTCATCTAATTATTTTCCCCCCAAAGACCCTAAATCCTTTAGCGATGGGAAACATACTAACTCCCACCGAAAGATTCTGTTCAATCCGAAGTTTGTTTTGCTTGCAGAGAACAGCAAATCTGTTCATTGGAAACTGGGAGCGGATAAAGAAGTCTGGGTCTGGGTGATGGGCGAGCACCACCTGGACAAACCCTACGACGTGCTCTGCAATGAAATTGTCGCTGAGAGGGCCCTGAAAGCACAGCAGGAGGCAGAAGAGCTCAGGTAGGAGATCTGCAAGCCCACAGCAGATGAGGCCAGGGTGCTGCTTGCTCACCACATCTCCTGAGAGTGTAGGGCGGGATTTCAGGGTCGCTAATTTAGATCTCTCTGGGAAGTCTCTTTAGACGTCTGGTAATCCCCTTCCTTCCCACAGTGCTATCCAGTCAGCTGGGTCATTTTCCCACTCATTCTCGTTTTGATCTGGATGTTGTTTTCCCAGCGGTCACTGGCTTCACCAGAAGCATGCTAGAGCAATGCAGGCCGATACAGCTGAATAGCAGTGATGTAAGTGACTGTTCACGCTTCAGGCCTTCAAAAAAGATGGCTTAGACATGGGCAGCTGAGTAGGGAGGCCCGTGAGGTGCTTACACTGTGCTAGGCACTGGGGACTCAAAAATGAATAAGGAGCTTCCACTCGGGAAGGACAAACAGGCAGCTGCCTACAATCAAAACAGACTGTGATGGGTGCTACAATCAAGTTATAAACAGGGCATTAACGGAGCCTGTTATTCAGATCCACAGAAGAGGGGGCATCTGAACTGAACCTGGAAGGAAAAGTAGCATTTTCTGGCTACAGAAGGTCAGGAAGGAAATTGCAGGCAGAGGGTATAATCAGGACTCCTAGACTTGATACGTGGTTCTTCAGGTAATGTTGAGTTCTTCTGAGTGTTTGGGGCACACGGGCACACAGTGGGGACAGGGGCCATGCTCTAAAGTGTCCGAAGACCAGGTTTAGGAGTTTGGACCTCGGTCTGTGGACAGTGAAGAGGTTTTTGAATAAGGAAGGAACATGATCAGCTGGAGATGCAGGAAGGCGACTTGGTGGTGGCAATGAGATGACAGATCCCCTCTGCTTGGTGCCCCGGGTGGCCTCTGTGAAGCCTGCTGTCCCTTGAGTGCTGACAGTCCTATCTGAGCTGGTGAAATAGATGCAGGCACACAGACCTCCATGCAGATCCCAAGGGCTGATGATGCTGCCCACCCACTTCCGTAACTTAGAACTATGAATGGGCCTACAGAGATGAAGGCATTATTTGCTGCTGATCATGGGAAGGCAGTGTACCCTGGCAGTTTAACTTCTGAACCAGCAGTCAGGCAGATGTGAGTTCGAATCCTGGCTCTCCACTATGTGGCCTTGGATAAAGTACATAATTATTTTGAGCCTCTTATAAAAGTAAAGGTAATTTTACTTTTACTTTTTATAAAAAGGTAAGTAAAGGACTTCCTCGTACGAATTAAGTTTATGTCTTTCAAATACCAAGCAAAGAGCCCAGCATATGATAAGCACTCAGTAAATCATATCTATTCCTGTTTTTCACATAATTTGAACGTAGACATCTGCTTTGAAAAAGCTGTCGATGCTGAAGAGTGTTTTTGATGATCCCACATTTGTTTCCCTTCAGCAAAGCTCAGCCCAAAGAACTCACCAACAGCTTCACCTCGAAGTCACATTACTGTGACCCGCAGACACCTTGCACCTGGGAGTCTCAGAACCTCGGTCAGAAAGCGGCGGGAGAGGAGGAGTCGGGGCCAGACTCGAGACCAGCACCACCCCTCAAAGAAGAGAAAACTCCAGTGAGTCTTTCATTCTGTCAATGTGCAGAATTCCGTCTCGGTGGGAGACAGAGATACTGGGGCCCTGAGGTCAGCGTAGCAGGGTGTCAGGTCTTTCCTTGCAGGCCCTGCTATTCGTGTGGGGGCTCTGGTTCACCTGTTACTTCCCTGAAAAGGTAAAGCACCCCTTCCTCATGGGACTGATGTGTGGGAAAAAAAGAACTCTAGGAATAAAATCTTGCTTTTGAAGATATTCTCAGGGTTTATTCTTCCCTGTTCTGTATCTTTTATATTGGAGGTCAGCAGTTTTTCAGTGAAGGGCCAGAGAGTAAACACTTGAGACTTTGTGGGCCCCGTGGTCTCTGTTAGGATGAAGGGCCTGTCTGCATTCCTTTTGGAGCCTTTGTTTGCCAAGCCAGGCGGAGGGCGGGTTCGGTCTGCAGGCTGCAGTTGGCTGACCCCTGTCCCATAACGCTGGCCTATCTGTGCTCTCAGTTTTTCTCCGTCGAGTCTTCCCCTGTTTGTTGAGGACAAACATCAGTGCCTCTTTGGTCAGAGGTTCCTGCCTGTATTGTGGGGACAGCTGTCCCTCAACACAGCAGAAGTTTCTACTCAGAACTGGTAGGAATTCTCTTATGTTCCAGGTAGTTTAAGAAGCTCGGACATAAGCTCTTGCTCCAGGTAGCTTAAGAAGCTCTTGCTGCACAGATTATAGTTTGGAAGAGCAATCATAGTATATTATAAAGTACCCCCTTGGGCTAGGGGTTTCATTACACCGAGAATTAGCAGGAGGTTTGCAGGTGTTCGACTTCTGTTCAGGTCCTCGGCTCTCTGACAAGGGCTGTGTGTCCTCTTTACCTCTTTGAGGCTGTCTGAAAGGGGTATGATTGTCTGTCTTGCCTACTTCACTGGCCCCCCACATGGTGAAGCACACTGCTGAGTGTCTCATCTAAATTCTCACAATGACGTCGTGACCTGGGATCTGTTTGCACTTGTCCATCTTACAGGTGAGGAAGCTGTGGGTAGGTGTGGCTGCTCCACCTGCCTAGGGTCTTGCGGTTGATAAGAGACTGAACCAGGATCCAGACCGAGGTCTCCAGGAGCCCTACCTGGGTCACTCCATAACTCCTGTGCCCGATGGCCTTATTAATATGAGGAATGTGAAGAAGCTTTATGAAGGGCTAAAAATATGAGGTTTAAAATATTCAGAGCTACACAATTCTAAAATCTGGTTTACGCCCCAGGGTCAGCCCTGGGTACTTTCCTCATGGCTACAGATTTTCCCTCCCAGACCTGCTTTGCACTCAACACATTTAATGCCAAACTCCCTCCACACAGCTGGCGCCCTTTCCACGTCCCTAACGTTGAGAACAGCAGCAACAACCAAACAGCTCCTTCAAGAGCCTTAAGTCTGCAGGCTTCTCCTTGTGCTTGAATTACAGTACTTTCCTAGACAACAAATTTCACAAGTAAGATGAAAGATTAAAATAAAGATTAGATACCATGGTTTTTCTGTTTTTCCTGGGTCATAAATATTCCAGGGAGAGTGGCGCTCTTCCATTCCTGAAACATCTGCTCGGCTGTCATAGGGAACGCCATTGGAGTGGGGGGGCGGGGGGTGAGGAAGCATGTAGGTACAGGCATACAGAAAACACAGGTAGAAGCTTTTTCCATTCTTGTGTTTCATCTGTCCCTGCATCAGAGAAAATGCTTTCAGGGTCTTAGAAAAAAAATCTGTAGACAGTGAGGAGAAGGCCCAAGATGGGTGGATTTACTCATTTATTTAAGAAGTTCCCATTACGTGCAAGGCACTGAGATGGCAGTATAGGAGGGAGACAGGCACTGCTGTCATGAACTTCACAGCTGAGGAAGCAGGCAGAGACCGCGTGTAGCAGATCATTTCAAACAGTGATACTCGCTCCCAGGGAAAGGGCCCGTGTTCTGTCCCCCCGGCATACTAGCACTGGAACAGTACCAGGGATCGCAGGGCAGCTTTGCAGAGGACACCCAGCTGCAGACAGCGCGACACAGGACACCCGCGGCCGGCAGTTCCAGCAAAGGGCCAGTGTGGGCAATGGCTGTGCCCCTGGAGGGAATGGGGGCTTTGGGGACACCGAAGAAGGCTGTGTGGCCGAGGTGTAGATGGGAAGGAGGAGAGTTCATTACTGAGTAAGTAGGTGGGGGGGTGGGTGGAAGGGCCAGCCAGGACAGGGTCTTGGGGGCAACGTAAGTGTTTTGACCCTTTTTTTCAAGAATAGGAAATTGTCAATGATTTTGAAGCAAGAGCTTGACCTGATCAGATTTATGTTTTGAAAGGAACTGATCATGTGTGGACCAGAGTGGGTGGGGAGGAGCAAGGCTTCCAGCATAACCCAAGTCTCTCAGCTTGGGTGCCTGTGAGAATCGGGGGTGCCATAGCATAAATAGGAACAACTGGAGAGGAGCTGGTTTTAAAGGAGCTCATGAGTCTGGTTTAGAGACAGGAAGGATTTCTCATGCTACTTGAGGCGGCAGTGGTGGATATAAAATGATTTTATGCATAAGAGTAAAAGACGCACAGTTTGACTTAGAGTTCGCAAAGCTTTTTCTCATACATTTATTTCATTTCATAAAACTCCTGTGAGTAGGCCATGCAAGTATTATTTCTTTTGTACAGATAAAGAAACTAATGCTCAGAGATGAAATGATTTGCCTCTAAATAACAGAAAGCCCTTGTTTTTACACAGCTACTTGAATTCACTCTCTAAAACATCTGAGGTATCTGCAACAGAATTCATCACCTGCTGTTTCAGATGAGCACTCTGGTGAGAAAGCAGGACTAGAGCTTAGGGAGCTGTCCAGTGTATATTTCCAAAAAGCAATTTGGGTTTGCACAGTAAAGATTCTTATGTTCCAGACACAGTTTAACTGTAATATCTACAAGGACATTCTCATGTCTTTAAAATTTAATGGCTTACCCCAGGCCTAAAATTTATAATAAACAGAAAAATTACCAAGCAGATTTTATTTAGTTTTAAGTGATCCTGATGCTTATTTAAACAACCATAGAAAGATTTAAAGAGTAGTCAGTCTTCTAGGATATTGTAAACCACAAACAAAATCAGCTCTAGACTTACTGTGTAAAATGATCGTGTTAGATTTGCAATACAGTTCCACATGACAGATCACTACCAGTGTGCCCCAGTTAAATTCAACCCAAATATTGACCAGCACTGTAGAAATTCTTGTGCCAGAGTGACTTACTTATAGGAGACAGTGCTTCTACTTGATAAAGACCCCATGTATTTGTAGTGAGGAAGAAGAGAGGACTGGATTTTTGCATTTGTATCAGCCAGTTGCCCCCCAGCAAGGTTTGGGGTGGTATTCTATAATCAGTGCTATAAATAATGTAAGTAGCCTCAGGTTATTTCAAGTCAGGTTTTCCCTTCAGTATAAGGTACATATTTTCAGAGCTTTTTGGGTTTCAGAATAGTTACTAAGGGCTTGTGGATCTGTAGTAGGTTTTTGAGCTATGGTAATATAATGAGACCAAGTATGGTAAAATGTAGTCAGAAGAACTGGGTTTTCATTCTGACTCTGTCTCTGCAGGATTTCATTTTCCTTGTCTATAAATGAGGGACTTTTAAACAGTTTGTAGTCACGGGGCAGAAGTGCATTACTCTCCACACCTGCACCCAGGGCAGACATCGCTAATCGATGGCAGCACTCCTCCCTGCAGAGCCAGGCTTGCCCTCACATCCTTGTCCACAGGCTGCTCTGGGCAGCCATGCCTGGTCATGGAAGCTAGCTGTGGAGATGGAATCTGTTTGCTTAGATGATTCCTCACAGGTTTCCGTCTAGCTCTAAACTTTCACAGTCCTAAACAACACCCATGCCTGCATGACCTGAAGCAAGATATTTTCTCATATCACTTTGGCTGTTAAGGAGAGCTTTTAGACAGTTTCAGTGGATGAGCCATACCATAAGGTCCAGACTTCTCACATTCAAGCAGAAGTTAGACAAGGGCGTGAGGTCTATGGCCAGAGTTAACTCAGTCTTATATCTGGAAATAAGGCACAAATTATGTCTTCCTCAGTCAATTAGCCGTCTTATCCTGAGCTTTTCACCACAACCCTCTACTCCTAGACTCAAAACTGAAACTCTTCATCCAGCTAGGACATAGCTGATCTTCACACACTAAAAATTAGAAAGTTGTCCCTTCCCCTCCATGGAGTGAGAACACTGAGAAGCCCAATCCATAGGGCTGCCCTGGATTCTTTTGTACCATGATTCATTTTATTTGGGTACCTACATTAGCAGGCGGCCTCACGAGGACCTCTCTCCTGGAACAATGAGAGATCTGCCCCGTTTCAAAGGCCCTCAGCGCCACAGGAAGCAAATCTGGGGGCTTTGAGAGGACTTGTTTGACCCCTGCTTCAGGGTTTAGAAAACACTGAGTCCAGCCTCAGAGCATCTTTCTACACATGATTATCTTTAAAAAAAAATTTTAAGGACATGTTTATGTTGATTTAAAATTTTTAACGTAACAAAGAGCCCGTTTAAGTCCCAGATACCTTGATGCTGGACTTGACCCAGCAGCGACCCCCTAGTATGGGAGTGGACGTTTCAGTCCTGAGAGGCAGCTCCGTGGCTCCAGAAAGTGTGCGGGGAGGAATTAATTTCCGTTATAAAATAGGGATTATGTTAGCATACTGTTTCTTTACAAAGGAAGCTGAGACACTGTACAAATACAAGGATGCTTGCCCAGTATCATCCGATAAAAGCAGCAAGAATTGTCTCCTGCAGTCCTTCCATTAGCAGATGCTATTCTCACTATCATGAGCCCAGCATTGTCTTTCTAATCTTTCAGAGGAAGAGCTGGAGGCAGAGGGAGGCTGGGTGGTTTGTGCAAGCTGAGGAGGAGGCTGAAATAATGCCTAAGTTAGAGCTGAGTGTGTGGTTTTCATTTTGAAAAGCTGTTGCCCTCTACAAATACCTGCTCTGTCCTTATTTTCGGCAGTGGCGACAGCACTTGGGGAACT